GCCAACTGGAACCTCAACCTGGAATTTTTAAGACACAGTCGTTCCACAGATTGTATGGCAGTAAGAGGCATTGTAAGTGCAGCAACGACGAAGAATAAATTGATATCGCGACAGACAAACCACAAATTAGGTGTTCACTGCTAGCTCCTGACTTGTCCTTTGCTTGTTTTACATAATGGTCATACTGTGTTACAGGCATCCTCCCTCCATCCGACTCCGTGGCGCAACGGTAGCGCGTCTGACTCCAGATCAGAAGGTTGCGTGTTCAAATCACGTCGGGGTCAAAACTTTTCCGGTCGCAAACGAAACGAGGAAACCAAACCACGAAACAAACGCTCTGAAGTCTGAACCCTCAGTTACTTTTTACATCAATATTAAAAAACATGGTAATGATTACTGAAAAGCATACCCTAGCGTTAACGTAACACCTTTCGGTCCCTCGTATCTCAGAATTTCATAGATCCTCAGAATACTCAGAATTATTTGACGACTACGCCAAAACGCGTTTAGATGCCGTGTGTTGCGTAGTAACATAATCTATCTATGCAATTTTCATTTTTATCAGGTGTATCGTGACTGCTTGATTGAGTATGAGCTTTTAAACAACACCCAGACCAGCGGTCGCATTTCCTGATTCCCTCACCTGGATCTGTCCAGGTCCTTGGTCTCCTGCTCCGTCTCCTCCCGGTCCCGCTGGTCGCGCCTCTCCACCCCCGCATTGGACTTGGACCAGGCCGCCGTCTTGCCGGAGGCGCGTGCCGTGCTCGTCTTGGACCATATCTTGGACTTGCCGGAGGTGCCGACGGCGGTCGGCCGGTCGGAACCGCGGTGTAAGTTGCGCGACTCCTGCTGTTTTCTATGCAGTTCAGCTTTCAAATCTACCAGCTGAAAGGAAGAGAAGAGAGAGCTGAGTGATGAGACGAATAGGCATGCATTGACTATTCCACAAATGTCTACTACAGACCTTCTGGAGGGCGTGAACAATCTTCATCGATACTATTCGTAATTGCATCATTGGGTGTCATTCATAGGTCATCATTGCACACATGAAGCATGCTAGAACTGGAAGTAAATGTGAACCTTATTTATGGTCATAATGGTGCTATATAAACTTGTGGCCCACTGTGTCATTGCAATGGAGCAGCAAAGCAACAGCTGCATGCCATTATCTGTCTATCATACAAAACAGACAGTCTCTCATTCCTTCAATCCTTCATTGTCTCAGCTATTGACTTTACATCAAAATCAAGACATTGCTTGAAAATAGTCAAAACAAATGCAACATAAGCAATAATGAAATATAAACCTTTGCAAGCCATATTTTAAAAGAAACATTTCACCTCAGGAATGAATGTTTAACTAGTCAATAGGTTGCAGCTTCAATTTCCTCAAAAATGTTGGGAAGTGGTAATCACCATAATATTATGATCCTTGGTGAGCTCACTACTGGATAATGGGATGAAAAAATTAATGGGGTGAAATAATTGATGATTGTTGGGACAAATCAAAACAAAGGCATTTTACGGACCAGTACAGTTTAGAATGAAGTTCTGTCTGTATGTCTGTCTGAGTGTCATGTACAAGACTGTATGCATATGTCTATACAGTAAACACCCTGCTGGCCTGCTGGGCAAATACTTACTGAGGAGGTTCCGATTTCAATCTTCTTTTCTTTGTCCATACTTATTTTATTTGCTATACAATCAATCCCAAAAAATATTTAATTGAATTATTGAATTCACCTTAAATTCTAAATCCACAAGACCCTGGAAGCAGAGGATCAGAATCAGCTACTAGCAACCTTAGCTTGAGCTAACAAAATAAACCATCATCACGCACCATCTCTTGTTTATTTGTTTGGCTCAGTTTGAATCTGAATCATACTGGAATCCTTTTAAAATGTTTCTACTAACTTTATCCCTGTGAGCCAGAAAGCAGACATGGGCACGGATCCCAGACGACCAAACACGAAAATCAAGGTGGCCACTAGATTAGTGGACGTTAAGCATGGAATTATGGTGGAAAACATGGCTAATAGATGCCTCTCAACGAACCGACTATTTTGCATTCCCTCAGAGTTCACAGTTTTGAGAAAATCCCTCAAGATCCATCTCGGATCCATGGCCACGAATCATGGATCCGAGATGGATCTTGAGGGATTTTCTCAGAACTGTTAACCCTGAAGGAATGCAAAATAGTTGGTTCATTGAGAGGCTTCTATGAGCCATGTTTTCCACCATAATTTCATGCTTGAAGACCGTCAATCTAATGGCCATCTCGATTTCCGTGATTGGTTGTCTGGGATCCGTGCACATGTCTGCCAGAAAGCCACAATTTCTTCTACCCAGCCAGCAGCCTTAGTTCTACCTTATAGTCACCGTGGTTCTACCCAGGTTAGATTGTGGCTTACATGTTGATGTGAGAGATTCTGTTAGTTTCACCACATACAACTTCTACATCTGTAGCACAATTTGGCATATCATAAAAATAAAGAACTTAGCAGATGGCTTGACAACATCAAACCTTTCATAATTTAATTCCAAGTTTGAAGTTCCAACTATAATAGCGATCCCATCAGGCATCAGCTGAACTTTGTCAGCGTAACATTTTCACCCCAACCTGATAAAGCGAAGGATGTGCATGTAATTTCCTGGAGGATGCATAGCCGGTATCGGTCACCCTGGCGTCACCGGTAGTGTTTTCGTTCAAGGCTAAGGTTTCCTGTATTAGACAGGAAAGGCCATTACAATTAGTCCAGCTTGGCCATAATTCGGACGACAGTGAAAACAGGGTGCCTGGGGCGATTTGATCAAGGTTCGTGAAATTCACATATAGAAGAATTCACATAAAATTCACATATAGACGTTTAGCATATAGAAGGCCCATGGAGGGGGAGAAGTTCCAAATGTCACGTGACTAATATGCCCTCCAGCACCCTGTTTTCACCGGCGTCCCATAATTCTAAGACAGTCGGGCACACTAGGGTAAATCCGTTCCATGTATAGAAACGTTTCTATATTTGGAAACGTTTCTATATTTGAAATGTTTTTTGTTCCATATATAGAAACGCTCGTTCCATAAATAGAAACGCCAACCTTCCGGGCGATTTATTTTAAAGCAAGATGCGTTATATAACTTTCTAGATGGTGGAATGCCATCTAGTGGCAACAAGGAAGCACTCAGGTGAAAATGACACATCAATTTCGTCAAAACTTAAAACATCTATTTAGCCCAAATTAGCCAATATTCTGCCAAAAATCAGCCCAAATCGGGTTCTGGACGTCATATTTGAAGGGAAACCTTAATGGAAGTTTTTCTCTTATTCGCAATTTCTTCTACATTTTACACAAACCGGAAATCAAATCGTCGTCATTACCAAGGGCCACCATGGATTTCTTCGGGCCTCCTTGTGATTATAAACTCAAATGTTGGCTTGTCACTGGTGGTAACCGTTTTGTGCGAAATTTCGCCAGAGCTTGCGAAGATCGTCAAACAGGTGAGCGTGCACCTACCGTTTCCAAATATAGAAACGCAGCGTTTCCATATTTGGAACAAGCGTTTCTATATATGGAACATCGTTTCCAAATATAGAAACGTTTCTATATATGGAACGGAATTACCCTAGTGCGCCCGACTGAAGAGGCAGGAGGTTCTAAGAGGTAGGAAGCAGGTTCATGAGGTTCAAACTTCAAAGCAAAGAAAATGCAAAAGACCAGTAAGAAATGCATCATAACAGCCTCTCAACATTATCATTCCCCATCCCTCACAATAAAAATGGACCAAAAATTGTTTGAACACAAATACTGCTGAACATGCCTAATGCGATGGCCTTGCCTAATGCACAGTACCTATCATATCAAAATGATTGGTAGAGGTATATTATACCCTAACACTCCCACAAACCCTACAAGAAGCCACGGTCATAGAATACTAACAAGAAGCAAGGTAAATAAAAACACGATAATAACAAGAAGAAACCCAACAAACACAAAAGTTTGATATCGCGCACAAGCTTGTGCATACAAAAAGGGTGCAAAACGGCTTTATTTTAGGTACGGTTCATACTATTTGAATACCATCATTCAACATCGTTGCTTCTACCATAGATCAGACACGAATACGATATGATACAAAAAACTGGGTTCGTTCATATAAATTACCTAATTTTAGAGATCAAATTCCATCAATCTTAGGACAAAAGTTCAATAATAATGATTTTAAAACATTCGTAACAAAGATTAACTTGTGTCATGTGAAGTTAACTTTACAAAGCTGTCCTTCTTCAGCTTACAGTAATAGCGCTTTTGTCACAAAATAAAAGCACACTTGACTACTAAATACTAACTTGTCAACTCACAAGTAATATGTTGTTTTAAAGTCATTTTTTCCCAGGAAATTAGTTATGTATGGTCACTTTTCGGATTATTCTCTGGGATAATAATATCTAACTCACAAGTCCAGTGAGTTAGATATTATTCACTCGCTTTTGTGACAAAAGCGAGTGAGTTAGATATTATTATCCCAGAGAATAATCCGAAAAGTGGCCATACATAACTCACAAGTGAATGACAGCAAAATATTGCTGGAAAAAAACATTGCTGAAGCAAATATTTCAAGATTCTACCATTAACAAAGCCTTGATTTTAGCCAACTTAGACGGGTTATTGCCTAAAAAGGAATCATGTTTCCATAAGAGGTTTAAATTACGTTCCGAAGTTTACACATAATTTGTGATTTTCGAACCGAGCATACAGTACCTACCCGAAATACACCAACTCCTTTCGAATTTTAATTTTGAAGCTTTTGCAACAATTGAAATTTGAACATAGCTACGGTTGTCATAAGATACAAGTTATGACGCTGGCCATTTACCTAAGCAGTAATCTAAGCATCAGAAAATGGCTCCTTTCCACTGAAGAAAAGCAGCATCCCTTGCTCTGAATAGAGCATTCACGTCGATGTTGACAGACTCGAGGCTTCCAACCAGCTTCGTCTCAACGGCACATACGACCGATGTATACAGCCTTGACACGACCTAAGGGTTCGAGAACACATCAAATATGTTTAAACCAAGGTAAACACACAGCCTGCTCCAAGAGGTCTATTCAAAAATATAAATCCTCATATGTCAGAATAACACAGCCCGTTGAAGCACTGGGCTTGTCAAGGAAATAATCCACATGGGGGTGTCTCCGTCATTGGATTAGAAAATAGTATTCAAAGAACATATTATAAATAGACTTCTATCGTCCGAACCAAGTAAAAAAGCATGACGAGCGAAAATATGATACGTGCACTGGTCACTCTTACAGCAGAACAGAAAATGTCGCACATACGAGTAAAATCGCCAACATCTTCCTAGCATTTCAATGAAAAAAGTCAAGACTATGGCACGTCAATAATGTCATGACTATTTGTAACCAGTCGAGCAACACATACATCGCCCTTCACAGGAATATCGATTATCGCGCAGTTAATAACCCTGCCTAATACACAAAACCATCGGCTCCCACTGACAGCTAAAAATGAACGCACGCCTGCATTACATTGGTCCAGAGGTAGAAAACATCCCCGCTGCTGCGCACACAACCAATGATCGTCGGCCCTAATAACACATGGCACCCCTAATAAAACCCTACATGATTTACATCCGCGCGACACTTGAGCCCCAAATATCACGCGCTGGGCGCTGCGGCGCCATGCGCCTGTCTATGGAAGCGCAAGAAAACCAATCATATTCCAATGACAGTCTGCCATATTCTGGAGGCACCCCATTAGCGGATGGCCGCACCAGTCGAACTCCAGCCAGCGAGCCATCACCTGAGATCCATTTGGCTGCCCGGCCCCGAGGGCGGTGGGACGGAATGCTTATACGTACGTATCTGACTCTCTATACATGCTCGGCGAGCCGGGCTAAACGGTGGTTACTTCAACACCGCGGTAGGGCACAGTGGAGCGCTGCTATAGCTATGTGGCTGCATCGCGCTCCTCCCGCCCAGGCGCAGAACGCTCCTAGTTCGAACTTCTGAGGTACTGTAGACTATGGAAGAGCCGAAATTGCCGGTTAAGTCAGCAGTTTTGTGGCCTTTCAGAAGACTGTAGATTAAACCCTGTGGCGTGGAAGATGTGGTAGCGACAGCATCGTCGCTGAGTACAAAGCTCAATTGAGGAACTTGTCTGTCCACGGGGTCCATCCCGCGGTAGTAGTTTGCCCGATCACACTGTAGCACACCCCGTCACTAGCACGTGACCCCATCGGCGCCCCATGGTGAGCATCACGTGACGGGGCCGGCCCGGCGCAGCACCGCCGGTAGTCGGGAGTTAGGCGCGGCGGCTCGTCCCAGTAGAGTCAGCGTGGAGGCCAGTGCGAGCCGTGTGGGTGCCGCCGCGCCTCCCGGCAGCTGTACGAACACAGTGGTCACGCCGGCCACACCGTCCGAACACGGCTCCACGGCGGCCGGCCGGACGGGCAGGTCGGGCGAGCGGCGGCGGCGCCGCGCCGCTCCCTGCGCCGTCTCTTCCTCCGGCTGGAGGTGGAGCGTCACCCGAGCGACCGCACGGCGAGCCATGTTCCGCATCTCCGCCTCCTGCTGTCGAGCCGAGCGGCGACGGCTGGTCAGTCGCCGCAGCCGCCACATCGCCACACACAGCGACAGAAATAGGAAGAAGCACGAGAAGAACACCGAGAAAAACACAGCCATGTTCATCTTGTGCTGGTCCTGTCGGAAGAAGACGGTGCCGCGGGCGGGGGTCACCCCCACACTCAGCGCTGCTAGGTAGAACGTGGTAGTCCGTAGGTCATACTGATGCTGCGGTAGCTGTACCGTCAGCCTCCCTCTTACACGACGAACCAGTAGCAGATCTCTCCTCCCAGTCAGCTCGATGAATGTGTTCACCTGAGCGGCAGCACGCGTTACTCTTCGATACAGCGGGGTCGCTGTGCTGTTGGAGAGCGGCGCCGTGTCGCGCCGAGCGCGCAACCCGCCGATGTGATCCTCCGGCTCGGTGTGGTACCTCGGGTCGAACACTATTCTGTGTTCTCCTGTAGAAGAGTTGACCTCCACCTGTAGGGCGTCTTCGTGGGCCGTCAGGTAGACGTCCACAGCACCCTCCGCAACGTCTACCACTAGACGAATGTCCACGTTCAGATACTTGGGATGGGCAGCGAAGAAGACCGTGCGGCCTGACAGCAGGGCGCCCGAGAGGCAGCACGCGCCGCACAGTTCTGTAAGGGAGACAGGGAGGGGGTTAAGCAGGGTGTCGCAGAGCTCTGTAGGGAAGCCGGGTAGGGGGTGTTGCAGACGCAGTACAACAAAAATATCACGCTCGCTGCAGCCTGCAACGGTAAAACATTATATGGTCACTCGATAGGAATAATTGATACATACATCGGATTGCATGACGCTTAGATGTGTCAGCCAATGGCAATCGCTATCAATGGCTACGTCGCAATTATGCATAAGGCATCGGGTCCATTCACACTAGCGAATATCATATACGGCACAACCCGCACTTCTGTGCTACAATATACAGTCACTCGTCCGTCGGCACTCACCGGGTCGGGCCGAGTCGAGGCAGTAGTCGAGGTCGACCTGCATCTGGCGGTAACACTGGTGACCATCGGTCGGCCGGCCGCGGTAGTTGTCGCGGCACTTGATGCACTGAAACACCGCAAAATAAAGACTGAGGTCGGCGCTGAATTATCCACACGGACGCTTCTGATAGGCCGTGACATGTTGTAAGCTTGAAGAACCTACGGTTGAATCAAGCAATGGATAGTAACTACCAGGTACTGCTTCGGTCGCAAATCTACTTCCCACGCTGTCTTAGAAACACATAATTAAACCTAGTTGTATCTATAATCTATCTATTATCTATTATAGTTGTAACCACATAATCACAGTATGTTATGCATAACCCTCGCAGCTCAGCCGCGTACTCTCGGTGCCAAACAAAGCCTTCTCGTGTGTGGCCCGCCCTCACCTGAAGTTCGGAGCAGGGCTGGCCGCGCTTGTAGCCCTCCTGTCGGCAGCTGCGGTCCGACTCGGTGTTGTTGTGACAGTCACAGTCCTCTCCGGTGACAGGGTCACACAGCGTACCATGGCCGTGACAACGACACCTGAGAGGGAACGAGGGTGTCAGCATGGACACATCAGTGACAGTCGTGCCGAGAACTAGATTTTACATGAATACAACATTATTATTATGTGAATACTAATTAGATGCCAATTGAAAAATTGTGGATGCCGAAAATTCAAGTCACAGAAAACAAGTGAACAAGCATTTCGGGTACTGATGGCTCTTAATTCGTGCTTTTCTAGAAATTGCGTAAGTCGACAATGAAACACACATCAGAGACATAGTGCTGAAACCCGAATAAAGCCGAATTACTAAGTAAATTACGCCGTACAGTTATACCGACGACGATAACGATACTCGTTAGCACAGTAAGCAATACTTACGGTCGGCAGTGCTTGTCGGGGCTCTCACTGCCTCGGAAGAAGCCGGGCTGACACTGCTCGCACCGACTACCCAGCGTGTTATGTTTGCACTCCAGGCAGACGGCGTCATGTCGGGCACCCTCGGCCACCAGCTGCTTCAGTTCGGAGCGCGACATTTGACGCAGCTGAAACGGACGCAGAGAACAGACATATTCAGTCAGCGTGCGTGATTCAAAACAGCAAACGCTTTACTCCAGAGCAAAAGAGAGCCGAAATGCGAATGCAAGAAACGAGCCCGATTCGTCACCATTATTACTGCGAACGGCTGCAGCTGCGCACGCAGGTATTAATGGAAACAGTAGATGCAAAGTGACCCATTCCAAGTAAAGCACATCGTAATTGCGTCGTAGTCAGTCATATGGCTCTCGGTTAAATAGAAATGCCTATGAACCGCACAAAATGATGTCCGCTACTCAGACTCTGACAGCTTTCTCCAGCCTACACATTCTTCTCCCACGAGGTCAAGACGACCACCCATGCTTCCACTGGCCCCCACCATTAGCGACCATTCTCACCTCCGATACATTGTACCGAGCAGCCACCTCCGCGGCGATACACGTGTCCGAGTGGCCGTGACAGAACTCCAGACACGACACGCAGCCCTTGCTCGGCTCGCCCACGAAGAACGGCTGACACTTTTCACACTGGTCCCCCTGTGGCGCAGAGATGGGTTGGCGGACGGTTAGCGCCACAAGGGAGAGGTTCAGAGTGTCAGAGATCGGTTCGTTCAGGGTGTCAGGTTCGAAGGTTCAATAACTAGAAGAAACTTGTGTGCGGCAAGGAGGAGCAAAGGACACCAGTCATCGGCTCAGATGACTATCCCTCGTCAGTTAATATCGGCAGTGAGTTCATTACCCTTCACTAAATGACTAAAACGAAGATCAAAGCGAATCGAAAAGTTTTATGCATATGAAGCCACATTTTCAACAATCTCAACAATCAGCTCGTGCTATAATTCAATTGGCTTGATTCAGGAACAAGACAATTACCGATAAATTTATATTACATGCGTGACTGTAGAGCCCTTCCATCATTCCCTCCAATCATTACCAGCACTGACTCCACTCACCATCGTGTTATTGTGACACTTGAGGCACACATCCAGCCGGTCGGGACCGGCGCACTCCGAGTGGCCGTTACACAGACAGTGTCGGCTGCAGTCGTCACCAACGTACGAGAAGTGACACCGACACTGGTTGGGCGCCACGCAGGTGCCCTGAACACACACCTGGTCGCACACGGGCCGACAGGCGTCCCTGCGGGGGAGCGGTGGTGATGTTAGGGAGCAGGGCTTCTCACACAAAGTGTGTGATGGATATGAAGGAAGGAGAGTACATATATAATTAAGACAATGAACACTGACTGATACGCTAGAAAACGACTAAGTATCTGACGCTTCGCTGTGGCAAAGCAGCCCATCCAATGGGAGCACTATTACACAGAAAAATCACTACTACACATAGATAAGAATGCTAATGATGATACATTCCCATTCCGAATCTGTAGCACAGCTGGAACGAGAGTGTTGGCTGCATTCATCGAATCAGCGTTGCAAGACAGCTCAATCAGCTGGAGCCCAAGCCAGTCCCAGCTGTTACGTCAACCCTCCAGCCATGGACACCCTTCACCTGACTCCCCTTGCTCTACCCTTCCCATTCTCCCCAACGCACTTACCCATCGAGCACATATCCGTCACTGCAGACACAGCTGAAGCCATCGGGCCGGTCCACACACGTCTCAGAGAGTGGATCACACGTGTGGTGTCCGTTGGCACACTCGTTTTCTGGCGGACAGCCCGTGTAGTTCCAGGAGATGACCGGCTCAGGAGGAACGGCTGTGTAGTTTAGAGCCAGACAGGAGTCGCGGGGCCGCTCCAGCCCGCCGTCCCAGCAGAGACCAGCGCCGCCCAGAGGCTGCTCCAGGTTACACCAGCTGGGGAGAGAGAGAGCGGTCAGGTTAGGTCAGGTCAAGTTGGGTCAGATCGGCGCCGCTCGGACGCTGCTCTGTTCCAGGTTACACCAGAGGGATTTAATGACCCAGGCTACATTAGCTGCGAGGAAGGGAGGACCAGGTCAGGTCAGCCATCCCAGGCAGTCGATGGGCCAGGTAACACCGGCAACAAGCCCCGCCAAGCTACGGATACATCAGTTTATGCATCGTTTTGATTCTAACAGATGCATAAAACAGAAAAACGTTGGCCGATGGAATCAAAATCAGCTGAGCGAGTAAGTTTATCGATATGCCTATGTAGCTTCAATAGAGGATTTTTGGTAGCAGAGAGTAAGTTGACCTGGCCGCCACGCTTCATATCTATCACTCGGTAGGCATCACAGTACCGGTCCCCACTCTCTTCTCCCTTTTTCACAACTCACCCGCACTCTGGCCGCTGCAGACAGTCGCGGCAGGTCGTGTGGCGCTGACAGGGCAGAGGGCACCGGTCCCCGTCCACTACCAGCGGGCCACACACCCCGGCCGGACACATGAGCGGCTGGTGGCCGGGCCACAGACACTGGCCGAGGCGCGGGCTCCACCAGCACCGGCCGTCACCCTCCTCGAGACAGGTGTCGCAGGAGCGGCGCAGCGCGCACGGCACCTCGCAGGTGGCGGTGTCGTCGACACCGTCAGCCTCGTGCTGGGGCACGCACCGGCCGGTGGGCCACCGCCAGTGGCGACCGGCTGCCGGCGGTGGAAGACGAGTCATAAGGACAGAAAGGGTGGCCAGGTGGGTGGGTATCATAATAAGTGAATTAATGAGGTCACAGTGATGGCGGGAGGAGTCACGGCCTTCCCAACTCTCCGAGAAAAAGTCCGAAAATGATTAAAAATCTGGTAAACAAAGTAAAGCGCAGAAAAAGACGACCGCTAGTTAGGTGTTGCATCTCAATTCAAGACAAGCAACTAAAAATAGTCTCATCACAAAAATACAACACTTCAGCAGCCATATAATACAGGCAATCCTCAGCTCCTTCCCGGATCACGTCCAATCCTAGCCTCCTTACTCACCGCCGTGGTGTGGTAGCCAAGTGCATCCTTTGAGTGTCTGGCAGGAGATGCAGCTGGCGGCCACGTGGCACGGCCAGCGCACACAGAGCGTCTCCTCGCGGTGAGCCAGCCCTAGGGTCACACCCAGTGGCTGCAGGGACTGGCAGATGCCGCTGAATCCGACCAGGCTTATCCACTGACAGGCCTGGAGAGAGCCGCAGAGGGAAAACAGAGGTCAGCTGAGAGAGCGAGCGTAAGAGGGGATGTCAGCGTAAGAGAACATACTCGAGGCATGTGCCAGGGCTTCAGGTAGACAAATGCATTTCAATCAGTATAAATTGTCGTCAAGTGGGTTCCTTTAGCATGCCGTCCTTTCATGATCAGGAAGGGAAACCACCGGCTGAATTTCGACGACCAAGCGATCAATGTCCCACATTTGATATTCCTTTATCTTTCGCCTTTCCGCCGCAAGCCGGGCGCGGCACCCACCTGCGTGTCTGGATAGAGCGGCCAGCGGGCCTCGCACTCCTCACAGCTGGTGAACTGGGAGCAGTTGCGAGACTCCACCACCGAAACGTTGCACCGGCCCCGGTGTCGCGAAGAGAACTCGACAGTGCCGATCTGATTCTCACACACGGCCGGCAACTCCTGGCTGTTGGTGTAGCAGTAGGTGGCGTTCGTTTTGAGACTGATGACCTGACAATAACTGCAGCCGTACTGACCCTTGCACATGTTCTTCTGCAGGTTTAGTTTGCAGAGGTCGTCAGGAAGCTCAATTCGCTGCAGACGTGCCTGCACCTGGCCGCGATATCCACCGAAAAGGTACACGGACTCGTGAAGACGCGCCGCCGCCTGACCCACCACTCCCGGCGCCAGCGTCCCAAACACAGTGTGATCGCGTCCTCCAATACGCAGCCACATATTACACGCAAACAGGTAGGCGAACATATCCCCATCGGACCCCGCCCCACCGAGCAGCAGCAGGTAGTGCTCCGTCGCCACGGCAGCGGGGAACAGGCGCGGCCCGGGCAGGTGGCGCGGCACGGGGTTGATGCCGCTGTCTGCAGGGAGCACGCTCCACCGCCGCCGGCCGTACTGGAAGCTGAGTAGTGTGGCGCTGGCTGCGGCCGATCCCACGCCGGCCTGTACCCCGCCGTACACGTACACCGTGTCGGTGGCGGGGTGGTACGCCGCAGCGTGGCCGTACATGCCTGGAGGGGGGGGGGGGCACAGTGGTTAGTCGGGTGGTGACGATGGGGTCGGAGTAAATCATTTAAAAAAATAGCTTACCTAGACATGCAATAGCTCAGAAAAAGGCAAAAGGTCTTCATTAGTTCTACACTTGAAAATTAAACATTTGCAACATTTTTAAGGCGTCGTTATAAAAAAATGTTTATGTTCCCGCACTGTATGAAGCCATTACGGCATGAATTATGTCATCCTCTGCCGCTCAGTCCGCTCGCTAGACTCACCCATCGGTTTGGTCCCCGTACAGTTGAGCCGCAGCCAGGCGCCGCGCGTAACATCGTACTCCCAGACGTCGTCCAGCCAGCCTCCCTGCGGCGAGACGCCGCCCAGCAGCAGCAGGCTCCGCAGGTTGTCCTTCTTGCGGTAGGTGAGTGTGTGGCCGGCTAGCGGCGGCAGTAGAGCCGGGACCTGTCGGAGTGGGAGTCGGCATCTCAGACTGGCGGACGGACGGATGGACGAAATGACGGATGATGAGTCGGGGAGCAAGGTAGACAAATGAGTCTGGTAGGAGAGTAGCGGACAAACATACGGATTGTGAACATAAATGAACGAATGAGCGTACGGGCCGACGAATTTAGACGGATGGTTGGACAGACGAACAGGCAGCGTGACATGAACACAGTCTGCATCGGCTACAGATATAAACGCAGTTTCGAACACGATACAGCACACGGTCAACTAGACTAGTTAACTAGTTAGTGTCTAGTCTTATCAAGATCATCGTTCAAGCGCGTAATCAGAACAGCCAGGCGGCGCTACTCACCCGAACTTCGTTCCACATCTTGGTCTTAATGTTGAAGCGCCAGCAGTCCCGCAGGAACTCATTACCGTCCGTGCCGCCGTAGATGTAGATCTCCCTCTGTGACGTTACATAGGCGGCCGCATGGAAGAAGCGTCCGCTGGGCAGGTACGGCCTCGACGGCTGGTACTGTACGGTGACCTGCTGCCACGTGTTGCCCCGCGTCTCAAACTGCTGAATATCGTTCAGCGCACCGCGCGACAGTGAGTAGCCTCCGAACAGCCACAGGGAGCTGTAGTGGTCGGCGGTGAGTGTGTGTCCAAACCTCGGCAGCAGCCGGCGGAGGTAGGCCAGCGCCGGCTCCACGTGATGCTCGCTGAACAGCTCTTTAATCACCACGTGGCCGGGCAGCGCTGGCTCCGCGCACGTGGCGCCCACGTAGCCTGGCTCGCAGACCACGCGGCCGTAGCGCGAGTCGCACCGACCGTGCACCAGACCGCCGGGCGGCGAGCACGGGTGGGGCGTGCACTCGGGCCCGCTGTGGTCCGCCCGACACACGCACAGACCAGCTACACACTGCCGGCCGGCCGGACATCGGTCCGGACACCGGAGCACGCGGTAGCTGGCGTTGAACCCCTCCGAGGGTGAGTGCTGCTCGAAGTAGACCGTCATGAAACCTGCGGACGGGAGAGTGGTGAGGGGCGTCAGACGAGCCTGGAAACGTCGGGTGGGAATAAACTAGAAGTTAAAGCTTAAGCACAGCAACCACTATGACCCGCAGAGCGCAGAGTCGCCAGCAGCCACCAGTGCTAAGGTGATTTACGCAAGTCCCGAATGGAGTGATCTTCGACTACTATCAGCCTTTTACAGTCAAAACAAAAAGCCATAATACAAACCTCACCTCTGCAAGGACTAGACTCGACCCTCCATTCCTCCACAGTTTTCTCCATCTAACTATTTATAGTCCCCGTGCATCTAACAACATCTAACCCGCCGCTGACTAAAGTGACTTTATTAACTAAATTGAAATTGACTACATTTAACCATATTCTAACCTGACACTATTCTCCACTTCACCACAACTAACCTGACGATGCGTGCAGCACGGTCTCGGTGCCGTGCTCGGGTGCCGTGTCGTTACAGAGCACGGCCAGCGCGTGCTGCTGTCTGTCCCAGTGGCTCCCCGTCGACAGGTTCTCCGGCAGGCCGTCGTACACGGCCACCTGACTGCGGTCACAAGGCACGTGGGGAAGAGCGCCCACACGCAGCTCCAGCGTCTGCTGCGGGCTGGAACACCGGGACAGGGGGTTACGAAAACTAGGTTCGGGTGAGTTGCAGGAGTTAAACTTGCACATTAGATGACGCAAGGCAATTTTGATCAACACGGACAGTATATGTAAATGACTCTCAATATGCCCGATCAAGACTTACGTATATTAGGTATGTAAAAAAGTCCCGCGTTGAAATAAGCGGTCTGCGCTCGTTTCCATCCAGCAAAGTTAATTTTCTTTAGTTCCGATCATAAGGACATAAGTCATTAGCTGACCATTAGCACCCGTTCAGCTATAATTTCCAACAGGCACAAGTTCCATAATACGCACACCGTCGCATCCCCAAGCAGTACATAACAGTCAACCACAGTTATATAACTAGTATCCAATCACTAAGAAAGATTAGACTGCCAGTGCCGATTGCCTACCTGTCGTATATGGGCGTGTGGTAGAGGTCGTCAAACACCGTGATGATCCACACACAGTGAGTATCGTGCGGCGGGCCGCGGCCGGCCGGTGGTCGGTCCCGCTCACAGCCAATGTAGCCCTCGGTGGCCGAGAGGGTGACCCCGCGGGACGAGCAGCCCAGGTAGCACACGCCGCCGTCACTGAGGGGAGAGGGAAGGGTGTAACTATGGAGGAACGGGAGTGGTATATATTTGTCTCGAATAGAACGAATAGTTTAGTGGTAACTCAGTCATGCTTGTGCCCTGTGGAGAGGCAATCGACAAAGATGCAACGGGTGGCACAAATCCACACCCAGGTACTCGTATAATAAAAAAAGGACCATTTAGCAATATAGCATCACAACTCACAGTCATATTAACAACAAAATCCCTGTATTGCAATTACATCACACCATGTCTGAAAACTACCCATCCAGCACATCATCATGAGCCACGTCCACAATATCCCATTCTCCCTCCTTTTATCCTACCTCCTGCCTCCCTGACTGGCTCATACCGTGGGTCCCCGAAGTAGACCCTGATTGGCTAATGGCTCTCCTAATGGCTAATGGCTGGCTATCCCTACCCATACCGTACCGCGGGTCTCCGAAGTATCCGTCGGCACACCGCTCGCAGCTGTCTCCCTCTGTGTGGTCGCGGCAGAAGCAGCGGCCCGTGGCGAGGTCACACACGTTCCGGCGCGGGTCGCCGTGACCGTTACAGTGGCACGGCTGGCAGCCGGACGGAGCCGTGGCGTTACCGAAACTGCCCACACTGTGGAGCGGAGAGAATGATGGTGAGAATGGAATCGACAGTAAAACTATAGAGGAGCGTCACGAATTCCCATTAAGTGCATAATGTGTAATGAAACAAACAAATGCTAGGGTAGGCCAAGTTAAAATTGGCATTCTATTGATGGACTGGCGGAAACTTATAAATATTCAAACTCAATACTAAGCATCCGTCATATCCAACGACACCTCTCCTCCCTAAGCCCGTCCGACGTTCCCCATTTACACTTATACTGGATCCCTGTGTCTGTCTGTTCCCTATCCCTCCATCTGTCTGTCTGTCCGTCCGTCTGTCCGTCCGTACCTGCAGAGCTGGCAGTGTGCTCCGGTGGTCCGGTGCTGGCAGGCGTCACACGAGCCCGGTCCTTCACTGCACGTCGAGTGGTTGTGGCAGCCGCAGTCCGTCTTACAGTCGACGCCAGTCCAGCCGAGCAGACAGTGACACTTGTAGTCGGGCGGGCCCGAGCAGTCACCCGGACGGCAGTCTTCGACACAGCTGGTGAACGAGAGTGGCAGGGTGAGGGAATGTATCCCGACCGACAAAGACAAAGCGGCATTCTACTGTAACGATTGTAGCTATAAAAATAGGAAGTTATAGTTATCTAACTAATTAATCCAGCTAAGGTATTAGGCCAGGAAAATACGGGAAGTCGTCAAACACGGAAGCCACGTCGTTACACTGGCATAACGAAGCAGTCACACCGTCACCACTGCGGTGCCGGGTCGCAAATAAACATTACAATATATGTTGAATTACTGCATTTCTCTGACCACGCACATATCCGAGACTTTACTTATACTCACGTCCTGTTGCAGGTCTCGCGCCCATCACCGGCGAATCCCACGTTGCACGTGCACGTGAAACTCCCGTGCGTGTTGGTGCAAGTGGCGTTCTCGTGGCAGTCATGCGTCTCCAGTCTGCACTCGTCCACATCAGGGCAGTCAATAAACGCCCACCGCTGGCGGTCCGCCGGGCAGGCGCGGCCGGCCGCCGGCGCCTCCAGCGAACCCGAGACGCACACACCGCGGGTCGGATCCGCCTCATCATAACACCACCCACAGCCCAGCGAACGTAGGCAGGAAGCACAACTGCTGAACGCTGCACACGTGTGGCATTGCATCTGTCGAAGGCGACGCTCGGCGCGCAGCTGGGCGGCGGCGTCGGCGGGCGCCGGGAGAAGCGCTAGCCGTCGGAACTCGGCAGAGTGACGCTGGTGGTCACGATCCACCCACTGGCGACACTGGGAGAACTGGAACCGTGACGTGTAGGTCGACAGCAGGAAACACTCCTGTCGAAAAAAGAAGCAGGTGGTTAAACTTTACCCGTTTGTTTATAAAACAGTGAGGGGATATCAGGTGATTCGCCTATATCCGCGCTCTAGCCAACGGAAGGATGGGTCTAAGAATGCAGGATTAAAATTCAGACGATTTTAACGCAATGACGCGTTTTAGACCATTCTCTCAGACGTCTTAACACCTAATGTGCAACAATATGTCGGCCAAACTCAAAGCCATCATCTGGCATCCTACCGTTCCATCGCATCCCACTCCACTACGGCCCACTCTCCCAATCCTTCCACTTCTTTCGCTCCACCATCGTCCATCAGCTACTCTTCCCGTCCCACTAGTCCCCCCACTCACATTGGTCTCAGTACACCACGAGCAGCCGCCGATCAGACACGAGGCACAGTCCGCTCTGCTGTGACACGGCGGCGGGCAGTCGTCCGGCCTGCTGACGGCTCCCGGTGCGACGCGGTGACAGCGCCCCTCCTCGGGTACCCACTGACACCCCGCGGCCGTGCAGCCACCGCACTCCACCTGCTGACTGCAGGCGGGGCACAGGCTCGGGGTGAGGGTCAGCAGGCGGCCGCAGGCGGCGCGTCGGTCCAGGCGCGGCAGGCAGACGCCGTCCGAGGCGCACCAGCCGCAGAGAGAGTCGGCCAGACACGCCAGGCAGGTGGTCAGACGGGCGCACGAGCCGTTCGCGTACGGCTCCAGGAACTCGAAAGTCAGCGGCTCCTGTTGGCGACAGAAGAGGCGGGGCGAGGGGGTTAGGTTTGGTCGTACAAAATACCAGCGATTAGAAGGAATGAGACAGGCACCACTCAGTTTATAAGGTTCAAAAATTCAGATACTGTGGTCAGAGTGGTAAAACACTAGCGATACTAGCCCACTAAGCGAGTTTGTCACGGCCCGACGTGCGGGTTGGAACAGCTTAGATGTTAAATGCGACCAAGACATTTAAAATACCAACAACATAATCATACTTGCAAAGAAAAGAAGCTACAACTTAATATTACAAACACAATGAATTAATGCTTCTACGCATGATATATATAACCACCAGGCTTCTCCACATTCCAAACCATGCTGTCCTGCCCGAATCACACACCACTGACCATTTTCTGCGAGGCGGCTCCGTTCCACTCTAGCCGCACATCCGTGTCCAGAGGCGCCGTCGGACGCGGCTCGGTGCCAGCCGGTCGGTTCACACTGAGTCTCAGCAGGTACGAGTGACGCTCACCGCCGGCTAGGAGAGGAGAGTGGTCGCCGCGTATGGCCTCCACGCGGACCGGCTGCGGCGCGTGCGTGGTGGTACTGCTTACCACCTCCTGTAGGGAGAGGTGGGGAGAGGGGTGAGAAATGAGGGATTGAGCAGGGACATCATTATGACAGTTCTTTTAGCTGCGAGCTCATATCTATATGAGCTCGCAGAGTAGAGGATATTCGCTTCTCAGTACATATACTTTTCCGAAGATATCTGACTTGGAAATGGTGATGCACCAAAAGAGCTGAACTCAAAAAATTACCACCAAAGAAAATATGCCATCGACGATTCTGTAGCAGCCACGCAAACAAGCAAGTAGTTTCAGCAGCGAAACATAAAAATAAAGACCTGGCTACACTATGCGTTTTCTGTGTGCGTTTTTGCGGGTTTGCGGGTTTTGCGTAATATCGTTCTAGAAAAAAAATAACGATATTGGGTTTTTGCGATGTTTATTATATTAAAGTTTAGTTACTATAAGAGTTGTAGTAACTTTTGTATATAACTAATGTAAAAGTTATATTATTTATAACTTTTTTCTAGAACGATATTACGCAAAAAAACGCAAACCCGCAAAAAACGCAAGCAGAAAACGCATAGTGTAGCCAGGCCTTAAGTATTTCAAACATGATTTGTTCGAAACGATGAAACAACTCCAAATAACTTCCACCTTCAAAATTCACTCTACGCCGCCTTATCCTTAATTGTTCCTCTCCCAGACACCCTTTCTCACTTTCCGTCGACTCACCAGTCGCTCCCAGTCCCTATCACGAGACAGCTGCAGCTGTGATGATGCCCGTCCGCTGGTAGTGACAAAGAGCCGCAGGTACGGGTCCACCTTGGGCCGACTGCCCAGCGGGTGCACAAAGCCCTGCACACGGGCCTCGGCTAACGCGGAGACCTCGGGACCGAACGCCTCAGCCGCGGCCGGGAAGGTGAGCCATGTCGAGTTGATGATGCGGACCTGGGGATGAGGGGCGAATGAGGGGTTATCTGAGAAGATGACATCCGAGAACGGCGACTGCGCAAGTTATAAGAAACGGGCGGATCTTGTTCATGATTCACTTTAGTATACCGAGACACTATACACTGCAAAGATACTAATGTGGAGCTTAGTTAATGGAGCTTCAAAATGGATCCATGAGGTCATTTCGCGACCCGTAATTCAAAAATCAACATCATTCATCTTTGCAACAGCTATGTAGCTCAAAACCACTAACACTAATGCTTCTTCGCTTCCTGAACCTCGGTACTAGGCCATACCCCTCCTTCCCAACCTGTCCAGTGATCCCGACCCGAACCCTGCTGAACCCACCTCATCAGGCCACTGAGGGTCGGCCGGACTCATGTACACACTGAGTGTCAGGCCGGGTCGGAAGTCACGCGTTCGACACTCCTCCAGCCGTGTGATGTCGGTGCCATTGGAGCCCCACCAGCCGACCACGCCTGACGGGGTCTCCGAGCCGGAGCCGCACTGGCCCGGAACACCTGGGCAAAGGGGGCGTAGGGTGAATGATGTGACGCCAAAGGCGACGTTGGAAAAGGCACTGGTCGGGAACACTTGGACAGAGGAGACACGGCATTTATAGTGGGACACCACAACGGGAGAGAAGAATATATACACTATTTACCGACGGCTAGATAGATCTAGTCATACTGTAACAACAATGAACGATCTTCATTCGACCTCCGTATTATACGAATCTCCCCAGCTTCCAGCAGAGCTAAATATGTTGATACCCCGCATACTCATTCTCATAATTCCCGGTTCCCGCAGGTCACTCACCGTCGGCGCGGTGGCAGGCGGCATTCTGGACGCACCAGGCGCAGCCGGCGCCGTGCACCACACACGCCTGGCAGTGTCGGAGCGCTGCGCACACGCCCGGGCACGGAGACGACTGCAGGTTACTGGTACACGCGCTGCCCTGGCTGCGGCCCACACAGCGACCCTGCGGGCACCAGCCGCACACGGGGTTGGCCGTGCACGACGACTGGGTGTTGTGGCGCGCGCACATGGCATCCCGGCTGGCCGGCCGGCTGGCGGGTGCCACCATGGTGTCGGGGAGGGTGTAGGCCAGCAGGTGACCGGACACGGAGCCGTGGTAGCCGCCGAACATGAGTAGCGTGCTGCCGTCCAGTAGGGAGGCCGACGAGCCGAACAGACCGAACGGCAGCGGGTACGTGGACGCTGTGGAAAGGAGGCGAACAGGTCAGACCAGGTCAGAGTGGCTAGCAACAGCGGAAGAGAGAAAACAGGCACGAAAAGGTTTTTAAACGGCAAACCCACGTCAAACAGGGGCTAACAGGATAAAAATTAGCCGATACAGTGAGCATTCTTTGTTAAAAACATAACTACGCTTAAGCTTAACAAGAAAACAATAGACCACATTAGACACTTCATCCTTGACTTATTGGCCAACTCAGCCTTGACTCAATTAAGACCGTGGCCGCCTACTCACAGTCTGATGTCATCTCGAGGACGCCGTGGTTGACCCAGGTGTGGCAGCGAAGGCTGTAGAAGAAAATCTGGTGGTCGTAGCACACGTTTTCCCGTCGGTGACGGTGGGTGTACCCGCCGAACACCACCATGTAGTCGCCTGTCGGAAGTAAGCACGAAACATATCAGCAACAGTCAGGGCGGAATTAGTCCGACATTTATTACAAACCGAAAACAGTCTCAATCAACCATCAGCTGGCAATTTGAACAAACATATTGCAGTCATTTGAAGATAAACAACAACAGCTGATGGCGTGCGCACAGAGTTTCCATAGCTAACTGAAAAAAAAACTTAAGCAATTTTATGGCTCATTGAAGAGCTTTTTTCCACTACAACTGAGTCATCATTTGATCACCGTTTGGCAGCAAAATTTAGTGATTCGGACAGACCCGTCCCCAAAGAAACTCACCGGCGATCTGCGCCACGTGGAAGGCGCGCTCGAGCGGCACGTGCGTGTCGAGCTGCTGAGCGGGCGGATACACCAGCTCAGACCAGACGAGCTCCCTCACATGGAACGCAAACAGCCGGTGAGACAGCATCGGTAGTCGATCGATGTCCACCGCCAGTCCTCCATAGACGAGCAGAGAGTCGGATGCCGCGTGGTAGAGCGTCGAGTGACCCACCAGACGGAGACTGAGCTCACTGCCACCACGGGGAGATACGATCTCCCAGTGTGCGCCGGACGCGTCCACCGTCAGCTTCCAGAGGTCGCCGTGTACGGTGTCCCCGGCGCCGGCTCCGGCCAGTAGGTACAGTGCGCCCTCCGGGCCGGTGGTGAGAGTGTGGTGCACGCGCGCAGTGGGTCGCGGACGAGCCGCCAGCGGTCGCCAGGCGCCCGAGGTGACGTTATACGACCAGAGATCGTCTAGAAGGCGGCGATCGGCTCCCTGGCCGCCGTGGATGAGGAGCTGGTCAGTGCCGAGAACGGCGGACGCGTGACCGAACCGCGCCGGCGGCCAGCAGAAGTCGCGCGGTGGCGAGCCGCAGACTTCCTCTGGCGTTCGCCGCCTCCAGACACCACTGCTTAGGTCATACTCAGCCAGATCATCCAGAGCGCTGTTGAGATCGTACCCTCCAAACACCACAAACCGACGCGCTGTCGGGAACAGCGCAGCGGCGTGGCGCGCACGGGCCAGGGACGGCGCCTCGTCTAGGACGTGCCACCGGTTACCGGGCCGGCCGCCGCCCAGGCCGCAGTCCCGGCCCGAGAAGCCCGGTCGGCAGAGGCAGCCGTCCTGTCCGCAGGCGCCCTGACCGGCGGCAGCGTGACAGTCGGCCGGACAGCGCGGCCACTGGCAGCGCGGCCCGACCCGGTCCGGCTGACAGCGACACACGCCCGCCTCGCAGCGGCCCACGCCCGAACAGTCGCCCGGGCACTCGGTCACCGCGTACCGCGCCAGGAACCCGGACATGACGTAGTTCTTGTCGCTGAAGAATAGCACCGTCATCTGTGGGGGAGAAAAATAGCGCATCAGACTTGAACAGTGGACACACCAAATGGTTAAATTACTGATGGTAGCCTATTACAATGCATCGTTTATAACAAAAAAAAAAAAAGATCAGAACGGTCGTCGTCAATGGTATCCTCACTGACTCACTCTCATTTCTCACTCCTAACTCCGACTCCTACTCAATGAGTAGTACTCATCGTTCCCGACTCGAGTAGCGGCGGCACCGACTCGCCAACTGAGCCCTCCTCCCAAACACATAGTCCGCCACAAACTCACCGTTCCCGACTCGGCGACCAGCGGCGGCGGCACCATCCCCCTAACTCACTCCTAACTCCTAGCTCCGCCTCAAACTCACCGTTCCTGACTCGGCGACCAGCGGCGGCGGCACGGTCCGCCCCCGGCCGCTGAAGCTGCCCAGTAGCCGGGTGTGCGGCTCGATACCGTCGTACACAAACACCTGGTCGTAGGAGCACTCCGTGTCCAGCTCTTCGAACGTCAGCAATATGTAGTGGCCGGCCGTGCCGTTAGCTGTCGACAGAGGGGAAGGGAGTTCGGTGATGTCACAAGACCGGCATGGGGAAATTGATCTGGGTCCCACGGACATAATCGAACTTAGAATACACCAGCCTATCACAAATTAACTTGACCGTATTTAAAAGTTAAAACGACATACAGTTGTAGCAAAAAGAAGTAGGTGGTATATAGCAAAACAACGTTTTGGCGAATCAACAACACTGCCTGAATGCAGCGCACCGTCATGCTGCTTTGTCCCGTCGACTCACGTTTGATGATCCACTGGCAGTAGGTGTCATTGCCGTGCTCGCCGGGCCCGTCACCGATGACGCCGCTCTCGGCCGTCATCAGATGACGGTCTCGGCGGCAGGCGCCGGCAGCGACGGCCGCACAGCAGAGCAGTGCCGCCGCCGCCAGGGGTAGCCGCCATGGCGGCCACATGTTGGCCAGCGGGCCAGCTTAGCGGGATTCACGCCTGGAATGAGCGGCGGGCGACAGAGGGGTTAGTCGGAGGCGTACACGTGTTGGAAACAGAGCGAGAACGATCTGTGATCAGTGGAGTAACCTGTAATTACTTAGCGTAAGCACATTCGCTAGTGTATGCCGTACGGATAAAGTAGCTGGCAAAAAATGTCCACAATCATATTGCCGTTCGTGTGAACCTAGTGGGTAAGGTTTCCGTCCCAAGGCTCGGTCGCATGGGATTCGAGGCTGAAAAAAAGCATGTTGTTGGGCCATCCTGGAAAGAAATTTGAAATTTGGGCAGCGTAATAGGGCAGGCTAACTTTCAATTAAACGATAAATTTACGGTGATAAAGTACGCATTTTACCGACAACAAAGAGTCACATTCAATTATAATCATGCCCTAAAACTGATCGCCAAAGACTACTATCGAAACATTATAGACGTCAGAGAAACGCTGCACCTTGCAAAGCCACCGTCCACCGACGTATGCCGTACGCCGCGCCCTTCTAGCCCCCTTCGAGAGCATGACGGTGAATTAATACCGATCTCGGTACTATTCCACAACACCCGGTCTATCACGATGCACTGTTCCGTCTGGGCCAGTCACCCCACCGACACCGAGGTGACAGCCTGAGCCGCGACGCCGCAGTCCCGTTCGGCATACCCCAGAATCATGGACACCTGGCGGTTCTACAGCGAGCTGACGGAGCCTGACGACTACAACGGGCTCGGGCGAGCGGCTCAGGTCGGCCGGCCGGGGCGGCCCGTCACCGTCTCCCTCCACGAGACGCCGGTGCCGCTCGTGTGCGTCACGCTCTTCGTCATCCTGCTGACTCCGCCCGAGTACTGGCTCCTGCGCAACTGCCTGGTGCTCGGTATGTTTGTGGGATACGCCGGCTGCCGGTGCTATCGTCTGTTCTGCGGTGATGAGACGCGAGACGTGGAGCCGCTCAGCCGTCCCGGGCCGACCAAACCGCCGCCCGCCTGGAGCGCCGCTGACGCTGACGCCGCCGCTGACGCCGCCGCTGCCGCCGCCGCTGCCGCCGCTGATGACGACGGAGGGAACCCGCCGCCAGCCTATCACTGTGCTGTGCAGGTCGATGCTGGTCAGCAGCCGTCAAATTTCACCAAGTCCATGACGCAGTACGGCAGTGTCGGATTGTAGCGATCGTTTAAGTTCCCATCAAGTCAAGAGAACATGCTTCTGGACCCCTGGAACACCTCTAGCTAGAGTGTGGCAGTGTGTACACAATAATCCAGCATTGCAGAAATAGTGATCAGTGAGGTGCACCCCAATTCTAAGCATTGCACAAATAAATATCAGTGTGGTGGTTGTGGTGTCTGGCAGTGCTGGGTCAGCTTGGTTGCAGTACCTAACTGTAATCAGTAGCACTTGAGGCAGCAGAAAGTTGACAGTGATAACCAAAAACAGGTGATCAAAAGCAGTTAAAATACTTCTAAGCAACTGGTCACATATTCATACATTGAAGAATACTACTTATTCTAGTATGTTACATTTAAACAAAGAACAAAACACAAATGGCTTATGCAAACAAAATGGTTATCTAGTTCTAGGGCATTATTCAGGCAACTCTTGAGCCAGAATGATGGATTAATTAGTGTCACCTTGGACTTTGGAAATTGGAGCCGTTGGAATTTACAAAACAGGGTGAGGAAATAAGACCAATTCAACATTTTTGGAGCTTGCATGTAGACAGTTTTTACTTTTTATAGCTCCACCGTTTTGACTTGTAATTAATTAATGCTGTAGGAACTCCATGTACCTATAAAGCTCCATTTTCTACAGCCTTGCATTTGGCAAACACAAGACTCATGAAATGACAGCCAACAGGTAAAGCACAGCAGTCAGCAGTCAGCACACAAACACACAGACACACATACCCACACACAATAGCCTGGTTCATTGACTGTCTTTGATAAAAATAACCACATTTTTAAAAGAAACGAGTGACATAAATTCATAAATTGATGCATAACCATTATTTGTATTTGATTTGTATGGCATGCCCACCTCACCTTCAACTCATTCAGTTGATTCCTGAAGGACATAAGGCCCTCTGCGAAACTGAAACGTGTCGTGGAATAAAATAGGTATATCTTGAAGTAAAGTCTTTAGTTATCCCACATACCAAACGACAACCGCACCCGTGTAAAATTTAATGTATTATTGAATAATTGCCAAACAGCACATGAGAGCGACACAAAAAAAACTGCGCCTCAATTGTCGCGTGGTGAATAAACTAACTGCTGTCAATTTAGCAGCACTTTGATTATCCAACTACAGTTTGATATTCAGGGTGCGTCGATTTCGCCCAAACTTGCCCCAGGGACCAAGTCTGACACGCTGAGCACGAATCTGGTGTCAGAAATCCGCTATTCTCAACCGATCACCCAAATTTACCGTTTTTGAGTTCGTCCATCTACAGATTGACAAACTCCAGGGGCCATCGATTTGGCCCAAAAATGGGTCCAGGGGACCAAGTCTGACACGCTGAGCACGAATCTGGTGTCAGAAATCCGCTTTTCTCAACCGATCACCCAAATTTATCGTTTTTGAGTTCGTCCATCTACAGATTGACAAACTCCAGGGGCCATCGATTTGGCCCAAAAATGGGTCTAGGGGACCAAGTGTGACACGCTGAGCACGAATCTGGTGTCAGAAATCCGCTATTCCCAACCGATCGCCCAAATTTACCGTTTTTTTTGAGTTCGTCTATCTACAGATTGACAAACTCCAGGGGCCATCGATTTCGCCCAAAAATGGGTCTAAGGGATCAAGTGTGACACGCTTAGCACGAATCTGGTGTCAGAAATCCGCTATTCTCAACCGATCACCCAAATTTACCGTTTTTGAGTTCGTCCATCTACAGATTGACAAACTCCAGGGGCCATCGATTTGGCCCAAAAATGGGTCTAGGGGACCAAGTCTGACACGCTGAGCACGAATCTGGTGTCAGGAATCCGCTATTCTCAACCGATCACCCAAATTTATCGTTTTTGGGTTCGTCCATCTACAGATTGACAAACTCCAGGGGCCATCGATTTGGCCCAAAAATGGGTCTAGGGGACCAAGTGTGACACGCTGAGCACGAATCTGGTGTCAGAAATCCGCTATTCTCAACCGATCACCCAAATTTACCGTTTTTTGAGTTCGTCCATCTACAGATTGACAAACTCCAGGGGCCATCGATTTCGCCCAAAAATGGGTCTAAGGGACCAAGTGTGACACGCTGAGCACGAATCTGGTGTCAGAAATCCGCTATTCTCAACCGATCACCCAAATTTACCGTTTTTGAGTTCGTCCATCTACAGATTGACAAACTCCAGGGGCCATCGATTTGGCCCAAAAATGGGTCTAGGGGACCAAGTCTGACACGCTGAGCACGAATCTGGTGTCAGGAATCCGCTATTCTCAACCGATCACCCAAATTTACCGTTTTTGAGTTCGTCCATCTACAGATTGACAAACTCCAGGGGCCATCGATTTCGTCCAAAAATGGGTCTAAGGGACCAAGTGTGACACGCTGAGCACGAATCTGGTGTCAGAAATCCGCTATTCTCAACCGATCACCCAAATTTACCGTTTTTGAGTTCGTCCATCTACAGATTGACAAACTCCAGGGGCCATCGATTTGGCCCAAAAATGGGTCTAGGGGACCAAGTCTGACACGCTGAGCACGAATCTGGTGTCAGGAATCCGCTATTCTCAACCGATCACCCAAATTTACCGTTTTTGAGTTCGTCCATCTACAGATTGACAAACTCCAGGGGCCATCGATTTGGCCCAAAAATGGGTCTAGGGGACCAAGTGTGACACTCTGAGCACGAATCTGGTGTCAGAAATCCGCTATTCTCAACCGATCACCAAAATTTACCGTTTTTGAGTTCGTCCATCTACAGATTGACAAACTCCAGGGGCCATCGATTTGGCCCAAAAATGGGTCTAGGGGACCAAGTGTGACACTCTGAGCACGAATCTGGTGTCAGAAATCCGCTATTCTCAACCGATCACCAAAATTAACCGTTTTTGAGTTCGTCCATCTACAGATTGACAAACTCCAGGGGCCATCGATTTGGCCCAAAAATGGGTCTAAGGGACCAAGTCTGACACGCTGAGCACGAATCTGGTGTCAGAAATCCGCTATTCTCAACCGATCACCCAAATTTACCGTTTTTGAGTTCGTCCATCTACAGATTGACAAACTCCAGGGGCCATCGATTTGGCCCAAAAATGGGTCTAGGGGACCAAGTCTGACACGCTGAGCACGAATCTGGTGTCAGAAATCCGCTATTGTCGACCGATCACCCAAATTTATGGCCCCTGGATGGCCCCTGGATCGATGGCCCCTGGCCGGAGTTTGTCATCTGTAGATGGACGAACTCAAAAACGGTAAATTTGGGTGATCGGTTGAGAATAGCGGATTTCTGACACCAGACTCGTGCTCAGCGTGTCACACTTGGTCCCCTAGACCTATTTTTGGGCCAAATCGATGACCCCTGGAGTTTGTCAATCTGTAGATGGACGAACTCAAAAACGGTAAATTTGGGTGATCAGTTGTGAATAGCGGATTTCTGACACCAGATTCGTGCTTAGCGTGTCAGACTTGGTCCCCTAGACCCATTTTTGGGCCAAATCGATGGCCCCTGGAGTTTGTCAATAGCTGTAGATGGACGAACTCCAAAACGGTAAATTTGGGTGATCGGTTGAGAATAGCGGATTTCTGACACCAGATTCGTGCTCAGCGTGTCAGACTTGGTCCCCTAGACCCATTTTTGGGCCAAATCGATGGCCCCTGGAGTTTGTCAATCTGTAGATGGACGAACTCAAAAACGGTAAATTTGGGTGATCGGTTGAGAATAGCGGATTTTTGACACCAGATTCGTGCTCAGCGTGTCACACTTGGTCCCCTAGACCCATTTTTGGGCCAAATCGATGGCCCATGGAGTTTGTCAATCTGTAGATGGACGAACTCAAAAACGGTAAATTTGGGTGATCGGTCGAGAATAGCGGATTTCTGACACCAGATTCGTGCTCAGCGTGTCACACTTGGTCCCCTAGACCCATTTTTGGGCCAAATCGATGGCCCCTGGAGTTTGTCAATCTGTAGATGGACGAACTCAAAAACGGTAAATTTGGGTGATCGGTTGAGAATAGCGGATTTCTGACACCAGATTCGTGCTCAGCGTGTCACACTTCGTCCCCTAGACCCATTTTTGGGCGAAATCGATGGCCCCTGGAGTTTGTAAATCTGTAGATGGACGAACTCAAAAACGGTAATTTTGGGTGATCGGTTGAGAATAGCGGATTTCTGACACCAGATTCGTGCTCAGCGTGTCACACTTAGTCCCCTAGACCCATTTTTGGGCGAAATCGATGGCCCCTGGAGTTTGTCAATCTGTAGATGGACGAACTCAAAAACGGTAACTTTGGGTGATCGGTCGAGAATAGCGGATTTCTGACACCAGATTCGTGCTAAGCGTGTCACACTTGGTCCCCTAGACCCATTTTTGGGCGAAATCGATGGCCCCTGGAGTTTGTCAATCTGTAGATGGACGAACTCAAAAACGGTAAATTTGGGTGATCGGTTGAGAATAGCGGATTTCTGACACCAGATTCGTGCTCAGCGTGTCACACTTGGTCCCCTAGACCCATTTTTGGGCGAAATCGATGGCCCCTGGAGTTTGTCAATCTGTAGATGGACGAACTCAACAACGGTAAATTTGGGTGATCGGTTGAGAATAGCGGATTTCTGACACCAGATTCGTGCTCAACGTGTCAGACTTGGTCCCTGGGGCAAGTTTGGGCGAAATCGACGCAACCTGAATATCAAACTGTAGTTGGATAATCAAAGTGCTGCTAAATTGACAGCAGTTACTACATTTACCACAAAAACAGTAAACAAATGACGTCATCAAAACTAATTTACATTCTGCTTGCTTGTTTAGTTTTCTGGAGGTTATAGAACCTGACTTTAAAATACATTGTGGAAAGGAACTAAATGATATTCGGTATCCCAAAAATGATAGTTAAAAGATCAAAAATAAAAAACTTTTTTTTTCGTTAGGGGAACGATGGCGAAAAGGCTTTACTTTTGATGACGTCATTTCAAGATCACTTCTTTTGAATTTCACTTTCTGTCTGTTGTGTGGTAAACAAGCAAGCAACCAAGCAACAAACAACCCAAACAACCCATCTTAGGCCATTTCTGAATGATATAAAGGTGCGTTTAATTGAATTTTCTGGTGATTTTTCAATTCAATTGAATTGGTTATTCCCCCAATTCCCTCGTACTATTTAGTTTGAGTAAGACACATTTTCAAAGTGTTGTTTTTCATCAGTTTGCGTGCCAATTTTTCCCTAGGTATGTTGAATGTATAATGGTGTCAAACTGAAACATTGCAATATTTCTGTTGTTTTTATTCTTGCCCTGTCCTTTGATAATTGCTGAGTGTAACTAATCAATTTATTGATTCTGCATTCCTGAGAAATAAGCAATTATCATGTTGACATGCTGTATGACCCTCTAGATGACGAGCATCAGTGAAATATGTGAGAGTACGAGGATGGCTCGTGAGATGGCCCTGCTTGGAAATTATGAGTCAGCTACTGTATACTACCAGGGGGTTGTGCAGCAAATCCATCGGCTACTGCAGACAATACAGGATCCATCCAGGAAACTCAAATGGCAACAGGTGAACTCTGAAAATATGGTGAAATGTGGTGAATGCTTAGCAACTGTCTTATCTCAAAATTGATGGGTCTTATTTTAGATAGCAGGTAACTATATGCAATATGCCTAGCTGTTATGATGGGATTGCTTTAGCATCCTTCATACAAATCAGTCAACACTGCTGTAATGATCTAATAAGTATCCTGTTATGAAAGCTGACATGTGGTTTACTGTTGCTCAGGTCCAGCAGCACATTGCCAGAGAGTACGAGCAGGTGAATGGCATCACTCACACACTAAGCCTCTTCCGTGCTGGAGACCATGATAGCCGACCAATTGGTGAGACAAGCTCTGGGAAAGATGCAAGGTCAAGTTGACTTGTACAGCTATATTGTGTGTGGACACACATGACTATCCCAGATCCCTCATTTTCAGTTTATTTGAAAAATATCTACAAAAGACTAAGTGTATATCTCATCAGTATCTCATCATCTCATCTCAGTCAGTAAAGCAGCAGGAGTAAAATTGTCTTAGATACTTAAGTATCAAATTTCAATATATGTATCAGCAGCTGGAAGTATACAGGTGTTTTATAGACTGAATGGGAGTAATAGCTATTTTGCTAGCTTTCAGTCATCTGGTAAATAAAAGAGCTAAATTTGAAACAAGTTAGGCGGTTTTGCTTTAATGATAAGGCTTCCTAATTAACTGTCATTTATTGTGAAACATCGGTTCTCTGTTTGCGATCCATCACGCCTTTCCGACCATTTACATTAGCCGGCAATGATGCACAACGCACATTCCGACGGTAAAACTATATGACCTGTCTGCCTCGACAGGCACTTCGCTGCGCGCCTCGTCGTTCGAGGAGCCAACCCGTGACCCGGATGTGTGGCCGCCCCCACCGCCGCGAGACCCCGACGTTTGGCCGGCACCCACCACCACGGAGCACAAGTGGGTCGCCGCCCCCACCATCCCAGGCTCACTATCTCCGTCCCTGGAGCGTGTGCCCCGGTGCATTGGGTAGGGCAGGGTCTGAAACTAGCTCGTTAAACCATGTGACTGAGAATTGCGACCTTTGAGTGTCTTCCTTACCTGAATCCTTTTATTTTTAACGCCTAGATGCATATCAGCCTAGATTTATGTCCGTAAAGCTCATTCCGAACCCAACAACGCATGACAGGCTAGAAGCCTTCACACGAAGGGTATTTGTGACTTGCTCTCCCGTGTCTCTGACGGCTGTTGACCCTCTCTCCCTCCCCCGCCGTCAGACCCTCTCCCCAGGTGCGACCGGTGCGCGGGCCGAAGAAGACCGACTCAAAGCCGCCGTCTCGTAACTCGCGTAACAGCGGCGTGGGTGGCTCCACGTCAAAAAGAACCGGTGGCACGTCCAAGAGTCGCCGCGAGGACAGCAAGAGCAGCGACCGGCGCAGCAAGGGCAGCCGCGACGACAAGAAGGCTGACGATAAGGTAGGACTCAGCTACTGCCGAATGTCTGTGAAGGTGGAACGATACAAGCCTTTGGTCAGCTCTGCTTCGTGAGGGCTGTCAATCTGGTTGCTGTTGTGGTAAGTTCCGGCTATTTTCTGTGTAATTCTATCGAAAAAAACGAACTGCGATTCATTTTCTGCTCTTCCATGGTTCTCTAGTATACCACTCCTACCCTGTAACCCTCAGGGCGGTGATAAGAGCGGCGACCCGAAGGAGGGCAGCAGCGGCGGCGCAGAGGGCGGCGACGATGAGGAGGAGAAGCGATTCGACCCCTCCGGCTACGACCGCGACCTGGTGGAGATGCTGGAGCGCGACATCGTCCAGAAGAACCCGGACGTGCGTTGGGACGACATCGCCGACCTGCACGAGGCCAAGCGGCTGCTGGAGGAGGCAGTCGTGCTGCCCATGTGGATGCCAGATTTCTTCAAGGTGTGTGTCAGTCGTGGTGAGGGAGGAATGTTAGTGGGTGGTAGACATGCTCGCCAGATTAATTGTGGCAATAAAGTATGTTCAATGAATGGTAGTTAATTGGCATGCATCATCGTAAGCTGCATTATTCCCTCTCAGAGATCAAGAACGGCCTTTTGCCTCGGCATCACAACACGTCTAGGTCTCTAGAGCTCCCTTATCTTTCTCTGGCTCTCTCTCTCTCCCTCCCTCTCCCCTCTCTCCTCTCTCTCCTCTCTCTCTCTCTCTCTCTCTCTCTCTCTCTCTCTCTCTCTTTCTCTCTCTCTCTCTCTCTCTCTCTCTCTCTCTCTCTCTCTCTCTCTCTCTCTCTCTCTCTCTCTCTCTCTCTCTCTCTCTCTCTCTCTCTCTCTCTCTCTCTCTCTTTCATTCATTCTTTCTTTTTTTCTCGGTCCCTTTGCCTCCCCTCCCCCTCCCCCTTTTCCGTTCCTCCTCCCCTTCTTCCCCATAGAAACCCTGCGTCTGACCTTTTCCCCACCCCCAGGGCATCCGTCGTCCGTGGAAGGGAGTGCTAATGGTCGGCCCGCCCGGCACCGGCAAGACGATGCTGGCCAAGGCGGTGGCCACCGAGTGCGGCACCACCTTCTTCAACGTGTCCTCGTCGACGCTGACGTCCAAGTACCGCGGGGAGTCGGAGAAACTCGTCAGACTCCTGTTCGAGATGGTGAGATCGACGGGGATTGACGGATTTCTGGTGATGTCATATGTCTGTGCCCGACGGAACCCTGACTTCCTTGTGTGAAATAGAGTTGTTCACTTATGATATACATTCAAATGTTTATATCGGATCATCTAGGGTGCGCGCAATAACCTTACTGGGAGATTCGTTATGTTTCTAAAGCTCCTAGATTTGCTGAGTAAATGGTATGCTTTTGTTGTTGTTGTCAAGGACAGGTTGGCTAATGTTTTTTTTTTTTGTCGTGAGCTGACGCCGTTTTTTTTTTTCTCGACAGGCCCGTTTCTATGCGCCATCCACGATCTTTGTGGACGAGATCGACTCTTTGTGCTCTCGGCGCGGCTCGGAGACCGAACACGAGGCCTCCCGACGGGTACGTTTCACTACATGTACCTAGATGCCACCTTCATTCGGGCGTAGAATAAAACGCGCAAACGTTTCGTGTTTCGGTGTGTGTTGTTCCCCGACGGGCGATGGTAACCCTAAGATGTGTGAGCTCGGTCTTCCAAAGCGGCTGCCGATGCTTCGTCTTGGATCGGAGCTGTGTTAACTATTTTCCGGTCAGCGCAATGGTAGTGATCAGTGATCACTCGCGTGGTCTCGTGATGTGGTCGGTTGTTTATTTGCAGTTTCTGTGCTGCCACTCTTACAGAATTCTAATTTACAAGGTCAGTGACAAGGATGTGTTTCTAAGCCACCCAAACAGCTGTAGGTACACATCTCTGATCACTGACTTTCGTCGGTCCACAGGTGAAATCGGAGCTACTGATGCAAATGGACGGCATCAGCTCGTCCCAGGACGACCCCTGCAAGATCGTGATGGTGCTGGCGGCCACCAACTTCCCTTGGGACATTGACGAGGCGCTGCGGCGGCGACTGGAGAAGCGCATCTACATCCCGCTGCCCAACAGTATGTCCAAATGGGGGGAGGGGGAGGATGGTGTTAGGAAGAGGAGGGAATAGTTTGGTGGGAAGGTTAGGAAAAAATGTTGGATTGGGATGGCCGGAGGAGGGTGGTTCGTGGCACGGACGAATAAGGATGAAGGTGGGTTGGGTGGGGGTAGACTATCGGGTGGTGAAGAACCATGCTGAAACGGAAGACGTGGCCTTACTGAAATACGGGGTGAGAGCAGGGCAGGGGTGTGATTGAGGGAGGGAGAGAATGGGGTGAGGGGGCAAGCCGAGATGGGTGGATAACAACTTCGCAGTCGACGTGCCCCTTAGCCCCAACCAACCACATAACAGAACTTAGCAGGGAATGTTACTGATGGGACAGTTACCTGCTCGTTAGACTCAATTATAGGAAGTCGCATGTCCACTAGCACAGTTGGGTAGTTCTCGTCACTCTGGCTGCCATCGATTCCACCCATCCACCAGCGTACTATGTGTCTGACACTCCCGTCTCGCTGTACCCTCCAGGCAACGGCCGGGAGGCGCTGCTGCGTATCAACCTGCGTGAGGTGGCCACCGACCCGGAGCTGGACCTGAAGTCCGTGGCCGACCGGCTGGACGGCTATTCGGGAGCTGACATCACCAATGTGTGCAGGTCAGGGTCGGCTGCGGCGCGGGCGTGAATCATACTGACGCAGTGTATGAAGTGAGGTCGCTGGCAACACCAGGTGGCAGTTCAGGCTTTTCTGTTTTGCTCGATCGATTAGTAATTGGAGTAATAAACGGGCTCGGAAACCAAGCTAACAATTCTATGTACTATTTACGTAATATTACCAAAGTGTTATCCATTGTCTCTCTAATTGCTATCCGTACTTTGTGATTCAAGTGTCTTAACACAAATTTGTCATCCCACTGCGGTCCTTATGCAACTGTACTCTACTCTATTCTCGTCTGACCCTCCCCTATCGTGTCCGCCCCTCACATTTCTCTCTCGCCGGCTGCAGGGACGCCTCAATGATGTCCATGCGTCGTAAGATCGCCGGCCTCCGCCCCGAAGAGATCCGCGCGCTGCCCAAGGAGGAGCTGGAGCTACCCGTCACCGACCACGACTTCAACGAGGCCATCGAGCGCTGCAACAAGTCTGTCTCCGCCAGCGACCTCGAGAAGTACCAGGCTTGGATGAACGAGTTCGGGTCCAGCTAGGAGGCAGGCGCGATGGGATCGGGGTGACTTGGAAGAACGCAAGCGGAGGGGGAGAAGGGAGGATGACGGAACACCAAAGCGTTGGAGAACACAACTACAAGGGTGGGGTGGATTATTTAAAATTATGGGGGGGGGCAGACCACAGCGGATTTAGAGAAACTGTCGGGGTCACCAGAGTTGCGGTAGGAAGCTGTCGTCAGGGGCTGCACCAGGTCCCGATGAAGTTGAGAACGGGACAGCACAACCTAACGTTGATGAGTGATAGTTCAGTGGGGCTTATGGGGCAGCTGGCTCCGGCTGGGGTTGGACATGGTGGTCGAGGGCAGCAAACACTGAAAACGGGGAAGATCGTCAGATGCGTCGATTTCTATGTGAGGTGGATGGGAGGCGACCTTCAGAGGATAGCCTTAGGTTCCGGGTAGGATGATTTGAAAAACGACTGTCAGTAAAACCTTCGGCTCTCAGTGGGGAGGGGCATACAGTCTGCCTGGCAGCTGAGACGAGTAATCTCGAGAGCAGTGGTACAGATTTATTAGAGGTGCAAATAACGCTTTTAAAGTGGAATGGAGAAGTATATACAGCTGACATTTACATTGCATAATAACTAGCAGTGAGCCTAAAGTAAGGTCGAGGATTGTGACCAGCGTACTTCGTTACAATATGGAAGGTTACGACTGAAACCGTAAGTAGCGGGTCGTGGAAGGGCAGGGTTCGTTGGAGAGTTAGCTAGGCCGTGGCTGGGCGATGACTCGGTTTGGGGTTGATAAAGCTGGCCACACCACGGTGTGTGCAGAGGATAGGCAGCTTTTACTTTATCTATGTGTGCGTGTTACGGGCCCGTTTATTTATCGGGTGGCACTGTGATACTAACACAACTACCAGCACGCCTTTGGTTAGTAACCTGTTGCCTTCTCGAGCTATGGTGTGAAACTGATGTACTCATATGGTTGGGAAATGGGACGGAACAGCAAGCTTCACGTCAAGAGCAGTTTATGACGTAAGATAACATGTTGGAGCCTGTCAGCAAGAAGTCTGTCAGGATCTGAACGTATTTATGATAACTTTGCACATAATCATGTCGGAAATCTAAGAGCGTGCTTGACTGACGGAACACAACACAACTTTCGATAGCGAGTAGGTAGGGCACGTTTTGTAGTGAACTATAAAAATTCGCTACGTTTAGCGGCTAGCGCTGTGATAATCCAGTGCTGGTTGAGTTAGACCAGATTTGATCTTCGGGAACAAATATCCATTCCGATGTTGATATTTTCAGCGTCTGTTTGTCTTCTGCACGTCTCATAATGATAATACACGATCAACTCACATGGCTGTTTTGTATTTGCACACAGGGAGTCTGAAGTCCAATAAAGCCAACGGAAAATGTTTTCACTCAATTTTGGTTCGATGCTGCACTTGTCATCGTACAGGTCGGAGGACGTATGGGTTGTACCGAACGATGGTTGCATGAGAAAACAACTGCAGCTGTTAAATTACTTCTTGGGTGCAGTTTGAAGCCCATGGCACGTGGACAAGCGGCGGGAAAAAACGGGTCTCGATACCACCCACAGTACTGGCAGCACATGTTAGTAGAAAACCTCTCGGGACCACCACACTCATCACACAGGAAGACTGACCAAAGCCCCATAATCTCCCGCATAACAAATATGTCGATAGTATGACAAATATCCTGCCTCTGGGTATCACATTTTGCGTCTTCATCTGTCCTTTCTGGCCTTACCAACACCGACCGCTATCCACCCATACCCTCTTCAAGCTTGATCGTCCGCTCTGGCTCCAACTCCCGCGCAGATCGCACCTCCCCAGTTCATAGCCCGTCCTTCCGTCCACCCGGTCGCCGCTGCGCCACTCTACTGGGCCTTCTTGGTTCCGCGCACCTTCCAGGCTGTCAGAAGTCGGCTGGAGAAGAACAGGGAGAATATGTGCACCTGCAGGGCCACCAGCAGGAAGGCCATGTTGACCATCGAGTACGGAAAACCCTGCCGGAGGAGGGGCGGGTGAGATCGTCAGCGGGGGAAGCAGGACGTGTGTGGAGATTTGAACCGGTCAGTTACGAGTTACGAGCTGCTTTTAAACGAGTGTGTGCTTCAGACTTTCGACCAAACGTATATGAGTCTTTTATTGAGTTCGCAAGCTCTACTCTAAAAATATTTGTTTCCCAAAGCTGTTAAATTAAAATGATGATTGTTTCATGTTTAGGGTAAACGACGACCAATAAAATTCCGTAGTATTTCACAGAAAATAACTCGGTAATCAGTGACGTTTCGCTTACTCTCAACTGCCATCCTCAACCAACACGCCTCAAAATTACGTCTATGGGTCTGTTCCAGTCGCACTTCCTAACACCTCTAAACTCCTCCAAGAGCAAGATAGATGAGGTTGGAGCAGAGCCCTCCCTGGCTTTGTAGGGGCTAGAGCTGCCACTGGAACAGGGAAGCAATCTTGGAGGAGTTTAGGTGTTAGGAAGTGCGACTGGAACAGACCCTATGACAAACAACAGACGTAGGGGCCTCACCTGCCAGACACGCTGGCCCTCTGCAGAGCCGGTGGAGACAAACTCGTAAGCCTCGGGCAGGTAGAAGAAGAAAGCGAACACCACCGGAGCCAGGCCTAGCGCCACCACACCGCCTGTAAGACCGGTGGACTACGGTTAGAAATCATGCATGCGTTAGTGTAAACGATGGGATGTGTTGCAACGTATTATAGTGTGAAATGCGCATTGCTATATTTGAGTGGGTCGAGCGCGATATTCGTGGTTCATCGGTTGCGGAGGCAAGGTCTATGTTCTGCGGTATATCTAAATTGTATCAACACAAGCGACGCCCTAGTCGGTAAACGCCATGGATAAAGCACATAAATTCGACGTGCCCGTAAACCCTAATAAACAACAAAAAGCACCTAATTTTTCGCTTTGCATCAATAAAGGTACAAAAAATAACGGGGAAATAAAGGGCGATTTAAGAAAGCAATCCAACTACAATGCTAGCAATGCTGGGTTGCAGAATACGCGCCCACTGCGTGGCCGGACTACCGCGCCTGCCGGAGCCACCTTTGCTCCGCGCGCCGCCCCGACACGAATGCCTGACGCCGCCCCTGACAGGCGGGGTCGAGGCCGGCGCCCGGGGTCAGGTTGGGTCACGTCACGCGTGCCAGAGTGACCCGAGAGCTGACGGAGTTGGCGGTGGTGCGTGTATTGACAGCGAGGGCGACCTGAGGACGTTTACCGGAGTGAACTCGCCGAGTGGAGCGCCGGGCGCAGAAATATATCGACGCTTCAGGTAAGTGGGTGATTCATTAAGTTTATTTCCGCCTGGTGACAATAAATGATTATCGGGAGGCCCGCGATTGAAGTGAAATTCAGACGCGGGGCGCATATGGTGATAAGCAGCAGTTCTTTTCCATGGTTATGCTAACGGTAGTGCTATTCGTGTGTTATCTATGTGTTCAGTTATGATCAAAGGAACAGCTTAATCCTCGGACTTATAGGGGGCGAACGGCCCTCGGTTTTTCGCGAATACTTCGCACAAGAAGTGACTGATCACAGCGATAATTTCAGTACCGTCAAATTGATCAATTTTATGACTTGACCCAAATGACGTTTGACCTGTGTGTCACCTGTTTCTGGAGAACATGTCGGGCCGGATCCCACGCATACCAGCGCATATCATCCGTGTGATTCCAGTCTTTGTGGATGTAAGCGTTCCTACATGTAAAACGCTGTTTGTCTCATGCATTATATTGGATGTCAAGGACACGTGAAGGTCAGGTCAAGGTCATTGACCTTAATTTTTTCGAGTTTTGCATTTTTCTATCATAGTTCTTACTTCTTGGAGCTGATTTCGAATTTTGCACCCATTTGAGCATTTCAGTGGTATTTTGGTGCATATGCAACATGTTAGGAGCCGTTAGTGTTGGTTGCCGGCTATCCATTTCCATTCACTACTATGGAAATGGATAGCCGGCAGGACGCCCACTGATTGTTCTGACCTGACCTGACCCAACCGACCCTAAACGCATGAGTACATCATTTTTGATCAGAACTAATATGAAATTCGTAATCATGACCGAAGTTCTAGCGCATCCCGATTTTCACGACTTTTAGGTCATTGGCCTGACCTCGAGAGTCAATCGGTGAACTAGGACCTTGAAATTTGGTATCATTAGCTTTCTCTCGTCACGGGCAACACGCTCGTTTTTCCGCGAAGCTCAACTTCGATTAGGGGCCGAACGGCAACGAAGTCCAACGGACCCCTCCCACCCTCCTGTACGTTAGTGGCCGACAAAACGCCAATACCGGCGGAGGTTAAAACTGCCCATCCCGTGATTGGTTGGTAGAGCGTTTACCACTGACTGTGGGAACTGGAAAAACCTGTGCTCGGGTGTCAGTCAGTTCGGCGTCAGTTCGGCACCATGGTGCTGACGGGGAAGGTTGGCGGTTGGTGGAACTACTCCAAAAGTTCAAGTTAGTTAGTTGAGTCGGTTGACCGATGGACCGTGTCCCGCTACGATGGGCATGCTTGGTGTCAGAACTCAGCCCTCCCTATTCAATCAGCACTCGCGCGATGCAACAGTAAAGGTCGGAGCCTGAGCAAAAAAAAAAAAAATTAACTCCAGCTTCAACCCAGCCATTCAAAGTTAAAACATTCGAAATCAGCAGGGGCGTAGGCAGGGGGGGGGCCACTGGGCCATGGCCCCCCCCTTGGGCGCCGAAGGCGCCCTTTGCGATTGGAGGGCGCCGAAGGCGCCCTCCAATCGCAAATGCAATTGTGATATAATCGAATCGAAAAACAATCGCGACTGGAGGGCGCCCTCCAATCGCGAATGTGTTTACAGGGAAAATACGGATAGAGGGCGCCCTCGGAGGACGCCCATTCCAAATACGCCCTCCAAATACGGTTGGAGGGCTCCCTCGGGCGCCCTCCAACCACATTTGTAGGCTGTAGCTCTCTAAGCGTAACGGTGGTCGCCTATGTAAGCCGCTGTCCTGTAAATAAGCGCCCTCTCACCCGAAGGCGCCCTCCTGTAGGTCGCCACCCTGCTACACATTGCCGCCCTTCTGCTGATCGGCGTCCTCATAATTATTGGCGCTCTTCTACCTATTGCGCCCTCATGTGAAATTTTGAAGGCCGCCTTTCTTCCTTTTGGCACCCTCTTGTTCAGTGCCGCCCTCCTACCTATTGGTTCCCTAGTCCTTCCTGTTGAATGCTAATCGGGGCCCTTCTCCTATTGGCGCCCTCGTGTTGATCGCCGCCCTCCTAACCACTGGCACCCTCCTGTTGATCACCGCCCTCCTATCTACTGGCACCTTCCTGTTGACCAGCGCCCTCCGCACAGACGCCCTCCTGTTCGTGTCATCCTCTTGAGCAAAGGCGCCCTCCTCACCATTGCCACCCCCATTTTAATCGTCACCCTTCCGCTCATTGGCGACTTGCAGTTGATGACCGCCCTCCCACCTATTGGCGACCTCTTGTTGATCGCCACCCTCCTATTGGTGCTCTCCTGTTCCTCGCCACCCTCTTACCTGGTGGCGCCCTCCTGTTGATTGTTGATCGGGGCCCTCCTACCTATTGGTGCCCTCCTGTTGATCGCTGCCCTTCTATCCATTGGCGCCCTCCTGCTGCTCGCCAACTTCCTACCTATCGGTGCCCTACTGTCGAAACTCGGGATGTTGATCGGGGCTCTTCTACCTATTAGCGCCCTCCTGTGGATCGCAGCCCTTCTACCTATTGGCAACATCCGTTGATCGCTGCCCTCCTATCATTTATTTACTCCTTTGGCATGTTCTTCAACTTAGTCGTTCTATTGCACATAGTTGATGTCTTGCCTGTGAAAACTGCCACAAATGAACGTGCATTCAGGCTTCAGCACAATGAATGAAGTACCTATACCTACCAAAACTATCTACGCTCTACGATGCATAAAACACGTCTTTGGTCTTAACGGATTGATCCTACTTTACGTGCATCATGGCATCTATATGTATTACGATTAAGTATTGTCAACAGGTTCGGCCGCAACAGCAGGCATCTGAAGTTTCGGTGATTGAAACTGGTTATGTGGGTACACTGTATGCACCTGTGAGAAGGCTATGAAGGCTGGTCTGAGGTAATTTGGATGATGTTTACGCATCTCGCGCTCCGGTATCAATCCGATACGGTGATCTGGTGCGTAGATATGCCACCGCCAATAAACTTTTATACATCGACACCCATGAGCCAAGCTTTCTATACAGTTTGTGTGGCAGCGGCCCGACCAAACCTTAGGTATTTTTATACCTTCAAATTTGGTAAAAGAGCGAGAGGAGCTTTGAACAGTGATCGTATAAAAGGCGTGCCTAAAAAGCGGAGGAAAAGGTTGTTTTCAAAAATTTCGCGCGCCTTCGGCGCAGCATTTCAAGACCACTTGACCTTTTGTGACCTGGAGTATAAAGAATACACACGATGCAAAATCAATGCAGCACGACCTATACGAGGTTACGCAAAAAAAAAACTGGTGGCATGGTAAAAAACGCCTCCCAACCCCCCCCCCCCCCCGTTGAGTGATTTTTTATCTCGCGACCGTATGGCGCCCTCCTTGGGTGAGGTGGCGCCCTCCAAACCCTTGGCCCCCCCCTTCGCGATTTTCTAAATACGCCGCTGGAAATCAGTGTATAAAAAATAGGAATCATGTTAATTAACTTGGTTGGAATCAAATATCTGGTTTCTTTAGTGGATATTTCTTTAGTAAACACTTCCCTTATATTCATGAATAAATCAATGATGAAATATATGTCCAGCCATATGCCTGGCCTTGACTCCTCTGATCTCTGCCATTACTGCCAAGGCATTTTTAAATTATGACAAAACATTATTTCTTTTGAAGACATGTGCCAAAAGAAAGCAAAACAAAATAATCTTTCACAAATAGGCTACATTCTCGAGTTGTCTGATAAAAAATTGTCAGATGGTTGCAGTCATCAGTCAGGACTAAGGAAAAACTCTTTTTCCATTATTTTAAACTAACAACTTACCAATGTAAACCTGTAGAAGAAAAGAGCTATTCTTCCTGCATGCTGAGAGGGCGAATATTGAGTATAGGATACTAAATGCCCAAAGGTATTCCCATTTCACAGGCTGAAATAGAAAAATATGTTAATGGTGAATCAAACATAATTGATCAAGCTGCCTTTGGTAGCTGTGTGATTATCTTGCAATTGTTGCAAGGTACTGATACAATAAAGATAAGTTGGGAAATATGAATGACATCAACACTGAAATTAATTAAAGTGCATTGCAGGCTTATACAAATTATTTTTGATAAACATAAATAAAAAGCTGTGACAAATACCTGAGGCATTTCTAGTTCTTCAACTTCCAAAATAAATATGTTCAGCTTGTCCAGGATGTCTGGCAGAAGCTTCAGCAGCATTACAATAGCCAGGAGGAGATGAAAGAACAGGCAGCATTTCAGCCTTGTCTTAGTCTGGGCACTGAAAACAGAGCAGGCATGGTCATAAACATTAGTTGCTATCACAGAAAGTACTAAAAAGTTACCTTTCGGCTTTCATATAATGTATGCTAACTTTGTCTGCAAGCATAAGAAGAAAACCCTTTGAGCAGCTGTTTGTTGTAAACTGGGCCATTTGACTATTTCAAATGTCATTCTAATTCAAATGAGTTGCTAATGTCTTGCAGCAAAATTGAAATGGGCTTCACCTTTAGCTGAACAGAGTGCCCATGACCATGACAAACCTCATTGGGACGAGTAAGCTTTGTGTTTAAGTTTAAGCCGAACAAAATTTGTAAAGCAATACCAATCACAATGGATTCTGCGACCCCAGTAGGTACTTGAACATTTGAAAATCAAGAAGGACATGTTACATAAAAAATATAAAAACTAAATATTTATGAAAAAAGATATCCAACATACTGATACAGGACTGAGGACTTTCCGGGTTTGGGTTCTAACTTCTAAGGTTCTAACTTCTTTATTACATGGCTGTAATAAAACTGCAAGTACCTACAAATGTCTTACACAATGTACATAATCAGTTAAACTGCATATTTGTATATCAAATAATTAAGCTGACTTACCTGACTTTGTACTGCGATGCTACACGTTCCCTGTGAAGAAAATCCCTTCCATCTGTCCCCATTACAGTTGGACCATTCATTGAAGCCATGATCACGGATAAGAGAAGCAAAATATCTTTTCAGCAGCTAGTACTTTTTATGCTCGACAAATTCTGGATATTCCAGCCCCACCCTTGATGCTAAATATTTATTTTATGAAACTCTAT